TAATCTTAAAGAGAATTTTTACAAAATGATGTACCATTGGTATATGTCACCAGAGAAATTGCCTAGAATGTATAAAACCACTTCAAATACATGCTGGAAATGTGAACAACCAGTAGGGACATTTTATCATGTTTGGTGGGCATGTAAAAAAGCTAGAAAATTTTGGATTCAAATACATACACTAATTCAGAGGAGTTTAAAGATTAATATACAATTGAGACGAGAGGTCTTTATTTTGGGACTGATGGACAAACAGTTGGAAAAGAGTCATGGAATTTTTTTGTATATGATAACTGCAGCGAGACTGTTGTATGCATAAAGATGGAAAGACTCTGCAATACCTACAATGGAAGAATGGGTGGTAAAGATGATAGAACTCACTGATATGGCCAAACTGACTTCTTTAATCAGAGAAAAGACAATATCTAATGTTTATTGCTGACTGGAACCCCTTATGGACTTTTTGCAGAAAACAGAAAAAAATGAATTTATGATTGATGGTTTTGATGATTAGACAGGGTAAATTATAGAAAGAAGAGAGATACATTGTAACATTAGAGAAAGAGGTAAATTTATAATTATACTTATAACTGCTGTAAAGAAGATCAGAATCCACTTCTTTGTATCTTATTTCTTTCTTTTCTATTTTTCTTTTCTTGCACTTCCTTTCTTGCACTTTTAAGTTACAGTATCTCTTTGATTTTTTTTTTATTAGTTTGTATTAGTTTTTCTTTTAAAAAAAACTTTAATAAAATTATAAAAAAGACATATGCATCTATATCTGTGCATGGTTTCCATGAACTTTATTCAGCCATTGTGCCTACAGTTTTGTCTATGGGATTGCCTCACAGACAGTCCCAGCATGGTGACACCGAATTACACCAAAGGTGCCTCTACACAGACTCAGTCTGGACATGTTTGTCAAAAGCTCCTGAGGACCTTGCACAGAGATTGCTCGTAGGGATAATAGTAATTGTATTTTCTTCTGATATTTCTGATACTGTGTTTAGGAACTGGTGACACAATGGTTAGAAAAGTCTACCACATAATTTAACACAAAACAATAAAATTAATTCCTTGCTGTTTTAACAACACTTTCTTGTGACTGTTAATTACACATCATACTGATGCCTTCTGTATAATTCAGATTTACTTTTGCCAGATGTGAAAATGTATTTATTTATAATTTCAATTTTGAGGCTGCCTGATTTCATAGCAACTCTGGATGGCTAATAATAAAAAATGTAAAAGAAAACAACATAGATCGGAGAAAAAGAATATAGGTGACAGGAAGAAAGAACCAAAAAACCCAAAGGGGCCCAACCACTATCCTAGCCCAAGGAGGAGGGGATATCATTCCACATGGCATGAACCATCGTTGAAAAGGTACGCTTTCTGGGTCATACAAGTTCCACTGTTTAATCGACATGACCCAGACTGTGCTTACTCTAGCTGACTTTACTGGACAGGCAGAAATGTACGGAGACAGGTGGTCCCTCAAGTAGCCGGGCCCTGTGCCATGTAGGGCTTTGTAAGTGATAACCAGCACCTTGAATTGGACCCAGAAGCCAACTGGCAGACAGTGCAGCTCACGAAGCAGCAGGGACACATGCACGAACTGCAACATACCCATTATTGCTTATGCTGCTGCATTCTGGTCTTCAAGAGTAGCCCTATGTAGAGTGCATTACAGTATTGCAACTGAGAGGTGACCAAGGCATGAGTGACTGTCTGAAGGGCCTGGATCTAACTAACAAGTGGCTGAGTTTACAGACTGGAGGATTCTGAGTACTTTCTCTATAGTCACAAATATAGGAGTTGGAGCATTGTGTTTTCTTCCCACTGGTGGTGCAAACTCATACCTTCTACTTACAAAACTCTCATTTCCTATGCTGTGCTTCTGAAAACTGCCATCCTCTGTATGCACTTGTGGATCCCTTGTTCATGTCCTGGCCCTTTCTTTGCCTGCTTGTCAAAAAAGGCTTTTTACTTCTTCAGTTGGTTTTGAACCCATCTATTAAAGATACATGAATGTGCTTTCAGTAGAAAGCCTGCACGGAATGTTATGTGGCCCTTCCTCTTTCTGTATATGTTATGAAGAACATATGATGAATGTGTGTGTTTTTTTCAGTGTGCCAAGGTTGTAGGAGACAAATACATGGAGGAAAGCTGATAGCAGCAAGTTCAGTTTCTGGATTGGGGTCATGTTCACTTGCATGGTATGTATTTGGAAATGCAGGAATGTCCAGATCCACAGACTCATTTTTTTCAGTAAATTATTAAAAAAGTAGTCTCGGAAACACTTTTGTGAAAGGAAAGTAAGAAAGCAGAATATCTCCAATAGTTTCCACCTGCCCAGTGTGCTCCAGCAGAGTGGGTGCATTTCAGGTCCTGTCCATTAAATATTGCCATTTTGTGGAACCTAGGAAACGTGCCTTCTCTGTTGTGCCTCTCACCCTCAGGAACAGCATTCCCCCCCCAGAGGTAAGGACCTCTCTTCTAAGGTTCTGGAAAGACTTGAAAACCTGGCTTTGGTCCCAGGCCTGATGTTTGTCATTGTTTAATGGCCCCTGCTTTGTTTTGTGGGCTTTGTTAGAGTATTTTAGTCTGGGCTGCCTGCTGATTTTATGGTTCTTGCTGTTTTTGTTTTCTTAGTTTTGTACGCCGCCCAGAGTCCACTGGAGTTAGGTGGCCAATACATTTAAATAAATAAATATATAAATAAAATCTAGAGGAGGTAACAAAACACCCTCTAAAATTAGGGTCCCCTTTAAGCAAAACGTTTTTTTATTAAAGCCTCACTACTTTACCTGCACTGCACTCTTCCCTAGTGCATGCTGGATTTCCCTTAGAGTCTGATAGTGTTCTAGCAGGTGATCACCACATATTATGTCAACCTAAAATGAACAGAAAGAAACTATCAAATAATTTAGTACTTGGCAAAAGGAGTGTTCAACATAGAAATTTATGCTCAATTAACAAGAATGATAGCCTACCATAACTATTATGTAACAGGCAGCTTTATAACTTCCAGGGAAGCTGCACAACACCGGTTACAAGTCAGTTAGTTTTACTTTTACATCTTTTGCATTATTTATTAACAGCAATGACAAATACTTTCTATATTTGCTGTTTTGCCCTCTGTTAAAAATTTACCCTCGTTTTATATATTTGTCAGTGTATGGGGCTAAATTTGTTAAGGTGAGCAGCTGTCTCAGTTCAAGCATAATTTTAATTTAATAATAGATGAGCTCTGCAGCCCAGTTCTCTGTGGAATACTATTTCTTTCCGCTCATCATCTGGCCTTAACTGGCACTAACAAGACCCCGAGGTACTATTTATTGACATGTAACTATTGCATGGCATTGCTTAAGTCATTCAAATCACCAAAAAAGAGTGATGTCCAATGATGCAACTGAAACAAAGGCATGATTATCCATTCATGATCATGCCCTTTTCTATAGCAAAGCTCTCCCTATGATACCTGATATTATTTAATAGATTGGTAGAATTAAACTGCTTAGTGTCAGATCTGAACTGCAGATGAATTTTCAATTACCTCTGAAACTATTGTGGGCTACAGAAAATTTGTGGTGCAAGTTCTAAGATACATTCCCAACTCACACAGGGAGATTAAAACTAATGGAGGATTTGCCCTAATACACACTTCATATTCCTTTATATGTTGTATTCCTCCACACTTTATATTCCCCTAATAGACACTGTATATTTCTCTGTTTCAGAACTGCAGAATAGCAATAGACAAACTGTTTCCACATAGATGGATTTTATTTATGTCTTCACCACTAAACCCTTGACAAAAACATCCTTAGAACACATTTTGAAAATGGCCAAATAGGCTCTAAATTACCTTCTGGGTAATTCTAAAAAACAGGAGGCTGATTACAATAAATACTGTTTTACTGTATACCAGCCTTCCCCAATTAGGGTGCCCTCCAGATGTATAGACTTCAGGTCCCAGAATTCCCCAAGAAGCACTGTTATTGCTGAAAATTTTGGAAGATGACCTCAAAATCTGGAGGATGCTGAGGCTGGGGGAAGCTGATCTGAATATTCTCAGAATTGTGATTTCTCTAACAATCAGATGATTTCTTTCAGAGCATTCAATAAAAATAAAACAAAAACAGTGAATCAATAATGGGAAACCAGAACTATAAGAAAGCATCACTTCAACAATATTCTTCCATCCATCACAAAGGACTTCTTCCCTATCCATGGGTAACTGAGTTATCAGTAAATTCATAATGTTATTTTCAACCATTGTTTGACATAGCTATATGGAAAGAAATTAAATCAACCCTAAGGAAAGACCAAAACTGAAATCTATCTCTGCTCCTCAAATTGAAACGAAATGCTCTTTTTTTTTTCTTATTAAAGTAGGGAGAAGAAGACAGCTGAAATATTCTGTAAAAAAATTTTTTTATAATCAAAAGAACATTAATTTTACAATGACAACTAAAAATACTAGTGGAAACCAAAGTGGCAGCTTACTCCAGCTGTAGGGACTGCAAATATCATGGATCTAGAAAAAAATTTTTTTATAATCAAAAGAACATTAATTTTACAATGACAACTAAAAATACTAGTGGAAACCAAAGTGGCAGCTTACTCCAGCTGTAGGGACTGCAAATATCATGGATCTAGAAAAAAATTTTTTTATAATCAAAAGAACATTAATTTTACAATGACAACTAAAAATACTAGTGGAAACCAAAGTGGCAGCTTACTCCAGCTGTAGGGACTGCAAATATCATGGATCTAGAAAAGCATAAAAGAGAACCAAACAAGGTAATAAAAGCAAAACAAAATTTCACTGTTATCTTCATAACAACGTAATAAACTGAAATTATGTTACATTTATATCTGCATACATTTCTTAAATTTCTCTCTTTATGATACTAAATTATCAGAAATATTTTCAGTAGGTTTGAAAAGGCCAATTACTTTGTACTCGGGGTGTTTTCTAAATTAAGCAACAACCAGTTCCAGTGATAATTCCAACCTGCGCAGGTTTCCTTGGGAGAAGGGTCCCATGAAATTTAGTTATATAGGTAGGATAGATAAGCTAAAGATGGTTCTTCCTACATTCTTGAGAGTAGAGGGTACCAGTTCTTCCCAACTGGATGTCTTGGCATTCAGACTTCTTCACTTCTCTCTTCTGCTGACTCCTGTAGGCCTGAACTGCCACTTCTCCCTCCCCACAGTCGCTCCTGCAACACCCCCCCCGCAAAAAACTCATAGGAGACCAGTTTTTGCTCCATGGATATATGTGAACAAGGGAGCAGCGAGCAACCTATGCTTCTAACAGCAGCCAGAGCCCTGTCCCTAAGTGGGAGTGGAGGTCACTCTTTCACTGTATTTCTAGGGCAAATGGAGCACTCACGAAGGTATTGTGATCGATTAGGAATCAGAAACGCTGCTTTCCCTTCCTGAAGTCACTGCTTTGGGCCTGTCTTTCCCAACTCACTTCCCCACTTTGGCTGTTAAATTCTATCAAATCAATTGTGCTGGTTAATGACTGCAATAAAAATGAATTTAATATGAAATCAACCTTTTCAATAACAGGTTTCCAGGAACCATACTGAACTGACTAGATAATTGTCATTGTATATAACTTGTATATAACTGAAACAAACACATTTTGTTTGCATTTCAGAAAAGGTTGCACTTGGTTGGTTTCATATCCATTTGTAGATTATGGTAAAATGGAGGATGTAAAATAAATGTCAATAATCTTTTTTGCTATTATACTAACAATATATATTAAGGATCTTCCAATATCTGCTTTAGCTAAACTGAGAAAGCTGAAAGCTCAGCATGCTTATACTAGAGCCAAATATATAAACAATACAACAGTAATTATTGGCAGCTTTAATATATTTCAAAGATATGTTCTCACATAATTCCACTGTTGTTGTTACAGACTTCAGATATTAAATGTTTCAGTTGTTTTAAATAAATGATTTAAAGTTATTACAATCTAACTATGTTAAAGTGCTTGGAATATAAAATGCTCAATTCTGCTACTTCAGGATTAACTCTTACATCTTCACTACTAACTGCTGCAAGAAGATTAAGACAATGGATATAGCCCCCATAGGGAAAAGTAAAAAGGAAACAAATGATGTTCAAAATTGGGTTCTCAGTTTAATTGGCATTAAGACTCTCAGTGCTTCTTTTTATTGCAAGAAATTTTTACCTCTGGTGCAGTGGTACCTCTACTTACGAACGCCCCTACTTACGAATTTTTTGAGATACGACCAGCTCCAGCCCCTAATTGTACCTCTACTTACGAACGCCCCTACTTACGAATTTTTTGAGATACGACCAGCTCCAGCCCCTAATTGTACCTCTACTTACGAACGCCCCTACTTACGAATTTTTTGAGATACGACCAGCTCCAGCCCCCTAATTTACCTCTACTTACGAACTCGCCTCAACTTACGAACCGGATCCGTGGCCATTTTCCGCCCATTCCATGTGGTCTGCGGCCATTTTCCGCCCGTGCCACGTGGTCCGCGGTCATTTTTCCGCCCCTGACATGTGGTCCGCGGCCATTTTTCCGCCCTGACACGTGGTCAGCGGCCGTTTTTCCGCCCCTGATGCGTGGTCCGTGGACGCCGGAACGGATTAACGGTAATTACATTGAACCTTATGGGAAAATTTACTTCGACTTGCGACCAACTTGACTTGTGATCAGAGTCACGGAACGGATTAAGTTCGTAAGTAGAGGTACCACTGTATTTTGGTCTTTCCTACCTATATAATGCTTTCAGAGAAAAGTATTACATGAAAATCTGTGGGAACCTCATTCATCTGGTTGCTGTTAGGAAGCTGGCTTATACACACATTGTGCGTATGCAAAGAAAGGTAATATTATATTATATGAATTATTAGAGTGTACCTGACAGCCAGGATCAAGATCCATCTTTCTTCTGAGGAATTTTTCCACATGTCCAATTGTTGCCTCCCCTGAAACACGTACAAACTTCTTTTCCAGTGGCTGCAAGAACAAAGAACAGGTTAACTTACTGTTAGGTTGTAATATATAGGATCTTTTGCAAATAGTCAATCTCACATTTACTTTAAAACCCTAAAATAGCCACAGAGGATGAAATCAATAATTTTTCACCTTTTATCCTTTTGACTTTTATCCTTTTGACACAATAATTTGCTGCTTAGGTAAATGGACTGCATTGTAATACATAGTTCAGGTGCTAAATTCAGGTGCTGTCCTCTTAGCAAGCAGCTGAAACTGATTTGAGGCTCCAGACATGGAAGAAGAGCTCCAGTCTCCTGAGATATTTCTATTGCCCCAACCACTCCACAACAAAGGAAAGGAGTCTCAGCTCCACAAGATCAACAAATAATCAAAGCTCTCCACTAGGGGAAAAATGATGGTGGTAGAAGACAAACTATTGCAAAAGACAGAAACAGTAGTGTGTGCAAGACAAACTATTATGAGAAGCATACAGTCTATTCCAGTGTAAAAGATGGGGTTGAAAGATGACCAGTGCTCATGAAATCAACTGATCACTAACCATAACTTCTTATCCTCATGGGGACAAATGACACAGCCAGAAAAGGCAGGGGATTACAAGCGAATATAAATCTATAAATGAAAAGATGAAGGAGCTGGGCACAAGTGATGTTTTCATTTATCCTCCCTCCTGAGGGTCAAGGAACTATAAAGGAAAGCAGTAATCTGGAACAAAGATTTGGATTCATGGACCATGGCTTATACCACTAGTATAAGAGGCTTTTAGGCAGGGATGGGCTGCATTGTAAAAAGGTAAGAAATAGTGTATTTGCTAACTATGTCAGGAAGGCTTTAAACTAAACCAAAAGGGGAGGGAGTTGGGTAGAGATTCATCTAGAAAAGTGCTGGGCATTAAGGATATCATAATGGAGGTACAAGGCAGGTAAACTTGTCTGAAAATCATCAATACATGGCAGTAGGGAGGAAACCGATATCTTTCAGTGTTTGTATATACGCTAATGGAGAGTATAGGCAGCTAGTAGAAAGAACTAAAAAGCCTTCTGGAAAGTAAAGTATGATATCATAGAAAGTTAGTGGGATGGGAATCGCTAATAGAACGTAGAAAAAGGATATTCACTTTCAAAAGAAATAGTACCTACAGAAAGGGAAGTGAAATAGCTTGTATATCTATGAAGAAATCAATTATCCTGAATATGGAAGTCTATTATGCTGATTAATGACTGCAATCAAATTATTTCAAATTTCAAAGTCCAATTGAAAGCATCTAGGTAAGATTTAAAATGAATAAAAACACAAAAGCTATACCACTGTGTTTACTTCACCTCTCCTCCCAGGTAGAAGATGTAGATAATGTCTTTCTAAATTACTCACTAAATTCTCAAGAAGGCAAGCTGTGAAGATATTGGGACATTTCAACTACCTTGATATCTGATGAAAAACTAACTCAACCAGGAATAAGAGTTCCGATAAACATACAAACTCCCTAGTTGACAATTTCTTATGTCAGAACACTGAAGAAACAGGAGGATCAGCTCTCTTGGACCTAATTCTGACAACAAAGTGGAATTGGACTGAAAGTGTTAAGCACTTTGGGGAAAAGCAATCATATCATGCTGGAGATATGATAACTATCAGATGCAGAACTAAGAGAAGTCAGTCACGTACCTTGCATTTTGGGAAGGCAGGTTTTAATGAATTCATGTGAAAGATGGGCAGTGTACCATGGCTCAAATTCCTAAAGGATAAAGAAACCCAAGAAGGATGGGAGATCCTGAAAACCAAGATCCTGAAAGCACTGGCACAAACAATCCTAATGAGAAGGAAAAATTGAACAAATTTTAAGAGCCTGAATGAAACAAGCAAGCTTACTGAAAAATTGAGAAGCCAAAAGGGGATCTTGGGAAGTGGAAATGGGCTAGCAGCTAAGGAAGAATGAAAACAGATGGCCCTGGAGTCATGAAGGTTAATGCTCATAATGAAATTGGCAAGAAATGTACAATATAGTAAGAAAGAAATTTTGAGATGTTTCTGAAGGAAACAAAGAGTGAAGAAAGCTGTTAGATTGTTGTAAGGGGAGGTAATAATGGGAGAAGGCAGAATTAACATTTTCTTTGCATCAGTGTTCTCAAAAGAGAAAGCTTGTTTCCATAAAATATAATGAAACAAACCAAGTCAAGAATTCAAATATATTCCTTCTGGGAGAGGAAGACTCAGTGCTGGCTTCATATATTTATTATATCTCAACTCTCAAGAAAGAAAAGCCATTCAAACTTGCTTTTTGTTGATGATAGTAAAAACAATCTAATTTAAACTTAATTTAAGAATACATAACAAGTGCTTAACTAAAACAGATACCATAATAATTTCTTATTTAAGAAAGTATAGTGGCAAAATTCAGCAAGTGTTAATATATTATATTTTAATCAGAACATTATTCTTTTAGATACAGATTTTTGTTTTTTTCCCCTTAGAGCAATGCATTTCTTGCTTCTCATATGATCCTCATATTTACAAATCAGGCTGATCTCTTAAGAGGAACAATGGTGAAACTGCACAACACTAAATATTCCTACTGCTTTTTTTGCCTGGCCTCTCAAACTAAAATATTATTTTACTTCATTTGTAAATTTCCATTTTGTTTTACAAATAATAAGCCTGCAAATATGACTGTCACATTTAATTTTAATACAGGAAATAGGTTTGGTAATATCTATACCTTAAAATTCCCAGAGAGATCATTTGCTCTGAAAGAAAGAGAAATGAACATAATCAGTGTGTCTAGGCATCTATTGGCATGCTCAACTCACAGGTCTACAGCAAAACCCATGCTCCCTCCAGGACTTATTTTGTGGTTCCCAGAGAAAACCTTTCATTTTTTGTTTTTGAGGAGACAAAAACAAAGGATGACATTTTAACTGTAGAACACTTCCACACCTCCATAATCAAGCTTACTTTTCCTAAAGGAGGAGCTAAGGGTCTTACATTTCTGCAAGATGTAAGGCATCAATTTTGTGTCTTAATTCCTCCTCCCCAAGTGTTATCTCTATTCGCTCTGGTCATACCATAACATTACCAGCCTCCTTCTTTGTAACCTCTGGAGATCCTTTTTTATTAAGTGTGGCCCCAGCAGCAAAAAAGTTACACATTGCTGCTCTTACAGCTACATCATTACAATGCATAGCTTAGCTTAGTTTAGTAAGTAATTTTATATATAATTTTCAGCATTATGCACATTCAAGGTAATGCTAGTTGAATAACTGTGTATTCACCATATCCCCATAGAGAATGTGTACATATTGTGTTCATAAAAACAGAACTGTTCATATTTCTCAATGAAGATATACATTCATAGAGGTTTCTGGAATGTGTATAGTAGGCCATTATTTCTTCCCTAATTCTATTTCATGAAAAGAGAATTGCCTCGCTGAATAAACCCATCAGCATTAACTTTTTTTTTTTGCATTCTCTATTTGTGCACTGTCCCTCCCTTCCTCCTTGCTGGGATGATTAATCCAGGCAGGAAGTCTTTAACTGAATATGGTTTTTTATTACTTAGAAACGAGGCAACTATGATTACCAAGTTCAGAAAATGGATCTTATGCATATATCGTAATCTATCTAAAGGTCCAGACCAGTTCTGAATCCTTATAAACAAAGCTGCCTGGTACAGAAACAATGATCACTAATGAAAAGGAAGGGAAGAATTGTGGAATAACACAATTTCATCCATTACTTACTAAACTAAGCTAAGCTATGCATGTTTGAATTTATTTCAAATATAATAAGGGGCTCTTAAGTTACATATAAAAGTGGTTATATATTGTCATGTAAGCACACAACTTAATTACAATGCAATAAATTGACCATATTAGTGTTAGACTGCAATCCTATACATTGCAAAAATAATCAATTTTATTTTAAAAGAACTAGGCATGTAATTTAAAGATTTTAATTCTATACCTATTCCTATAACGTGCAATATTATAAATTGAGCAGAACAATGATGAATACAATCAACTGCTAAAGTGCATTTCAGAAAACAGACTGCTCATGTCTAGAAGAGGTTAGAATCCTACAATTGATTACTTTTGGTTCCTATATTTCTTATTTAAGAGAAATTATCTTTATTTTTAAAAAACAAATAACTAAAAATAATCCATGGCCCTCTGCTATCCTGTCACACATACAGCCAGCCAGATGAGTTGTTCTTCTGAGCTGATAGTGATTCTGAGAGGAGAAAAGATAGCAGACTTTCCATAGGAAAAGTGGGCTGCTGCAATGCAGGCAAGGAGGAAGAAAAAGCTGGAGACTTATAGGAAAGACTTCTGGTAAGAAGAAGAGGTAGAGGTGTAATAGTTGGCAGATCAAAATAGATTCTTGACAGCATTGTCTGTTGAAGGCTTGTTGCTAGTTCCAGCAGAATCTGGGACAAGAGTCCTGAAGTGGGGGTAAGTGGGAAGTTTGAAGATCACTGAAGAAAGAAGAGGACTCCCATGGGATGAATCTACTCTACACAGACGGGTTTTGAGAACCAGGAGAGGAAGATGCATCCTGCCAGCTGGTATAATTAATCTCTACTTATTTCTGAGTAGGAAGGGAATTTGGGAGTAGCAATACCTATATTTAGCCCATATATTCCTATCCATTAGAAAATTAGTTCACTTTAAAATGCCTAGCAAGACATGTTTAATCCAAGTTGTATTTATTGCTTTATTACAGCTTATAAATTGCAGGGAGGGGGAGAACAAGAAAGCTGCTATAATGAATTACTTCTTGGAAATGAAATCAGGAGCTTGTTTTTGATTGTTATGTTAATAAAAAAGGAGAAATCATTCACATGTCTTGTGTATTGTGAACTGGATCATTTCCCTATGAACTCTCAAAGCCCTTATAAGAAGAAAACAAAGTTTCCTATGTTATAGTAAAAAAAGCAAAGAAACATTTGAGTTGAATTTGACTCCTGATCACTGCAACCATGATTTTTTTTTTTTCTGGCAGTGTTACAGAAGTAATTTCCACTGCCATATTTAATTAATTTGTTCATTCACACGTTTTTCAATTTATCTGCCTTTCCTTTAGATTTGGAATGCTCAAGCAAACTCCCACCTAATTCCTAGCCAGATTCTTTTCTACTGTATCCTTGTTTTAACTCCTGTTAACTGCTCAGAGTCGCCTGGTGAACGGGTGGCCGAATGAACTGAATAAATGAATTAAATCCAGTGGAGAATGATGGAATATTCTGTAAGAAATTCACTGAAAGTGAAATATTAATTTATAAATGGGTGTTTAGTTAAGTGACTAAAATAAAAAAAACAAATATATTTCTAGCACAATTAAAAATATATCATCACAAAGGGTAAAGAAGATTGAATTACTGTAAAATTTTAAAAATACAATATTTCAGTAAACCAGCATTTGAATGTTACCAATTATGATACATTCAAGTATATTTGTAATGAAATAGTGCAATACATGAACATTTCTTAGTTATTATTGCCACCTAGTGGATATATCAAAGGGGTTATTTTTTAATTTCTTTCCTTCAGATTACTGAGATTCTGAACCACTTCATATATGGTTCATTTGTATTTTTCATTACATTAATACACTGATGGACAAGCCCTAAGTACCCTAAGAGTCACAAAGGCTGTTTGCCAACTAGTTATATTGTGAAATCTGCTGCCAAGCTCAATTCAGTTTTAGTTACTTTGGGATTGAGCTTACTCAAGTGTCAGTTTCAATGAATCTAACTGTTCTTCTCATATCATGCTTCTAATTGTGAGACAATCATATACTGACCTCCCTGCATGGGTACAACCAATAATTAGTTTTAATTACTGGAACAAGACTGTGGCAGATGCTACTAATTTATCTGTTGTTTAAACTAACCCTTTGGGATTGTTTACTTTTGTTGGATGTATTGAAAAAACACAGATACTGTAATTCAAACCTGGAAGCAGGATGATAATGACCCATTATCATTTCTCTTCTTGCAATGTGCAAAGATGGTAATTTTGAAATCTAAATCTTCTGACTGCAGCTATTTTTAGAATACTGCCTACTATGCTAATTCAAACAGCATTTCAACAAAATACTTTATGAAAATTATATATAAAAGTGATGTAAGTATTTAGTAAAACCTGTACTTAATACAACAATTAGAAAAAACACAGAGCTTAATGGAACTATAAGCAGATTGATATGGAGCAGCCATCATCAACCTGGCACCCACCAGATACAATAAGACTGCAATTCTAGAATTTCCAGCTTACATAGTAGAGGCAATGCTGGCTGGACATTTTGGGAGTTGTAGTCCTTTACATCTAGAGAATGGCAGTCTGGGGCAATTGAAATGTTGGACAGAGAGGTGAATTTGAACTACAATGTGAGTAATCTCTCAAGCAAGAATCCTTTTACCAAATCACTGACTAGATTCATCCATCATGTGAACCCATTACATGAGTTCCTTGGTTTATGGCATGGAGAAAAACTGGGAAACTTGCAATCTCCAGATATCGCTGAAGTCTAGCCAGCACAGTCAAAGTGCAGAAATGCTCAATGTTATAGTTCAGCAATGTCTGAAGGATCAAAAGTTTAGTCTGTGGCTTACTCAACAAGCCATGATTTAATGCAATTTGCAAACCAAGTCATTATCTCTCAGCCCGAATTCCTTAATGTGACTGTTATACAAAGAACATGTGGAATAATCTGAAATATATTACCATGAGTTTTTTTCAGGGAACCACAGGACTTAAACATATTTATTTTTGAACACGTTTTGCAAAGATCCTAAAACAATTTGCACTGTGACTTCATGAAAAAGGGCATAGTTTTAGTATTTAGTCTAGAAAATAGGATTAGTTGGAAATAACTCTTTATACAGCAGAAATAAATGATTAACTTAAGCAATTCGAGAATTTGATCAGCTCTTTCATTCATACACAATTTCAGATGACTTTGGCTTGATTCACTCAATTCATCAAGTAAAATTAAACTAACTACATTGTAGCCTAACATAATATGGAAACTCAGCCAGTATACATGGTTTATGGCTTAATGCATTGGACAAACTTACCAAATTGCAGATTATCTGCACAAAAGGTAGCAGTAATTCAGCAAATCATGAAGCTAAATCAAAGCATAGTGGAAAGACTGCTGCTTTCTATATCAAAAAGTTGTATACTTCAGACTTCACTCTCAGCATTTCTTGAAAACTGAGCAAGTTGATGTAGAGTTGCAGATCTGAATTCATTCCACTATCCCTTGATCTTTTCACTGATATTAAAATCTAATAATACAACTTGAAATTGTAGCAATACATAGTATGCCAATATAGGTGTTCATTCCTAATCACAATGATGTCAAAATGATAAAATATGCACTAATATCATAATGCAAGCTCTGCCCTTTTACAATTGCACTGTGACATCACACTTAAGTACATAAGGGGTAGAGTTGACATCACAATGCACATTTCATCATCAGCTAACCTGCAGAAGCCTATGCACGCTGCTACTATATATGTTCATATTTCTGTCTATACAAAGACTTAAATATGAACATACAGAATATGTTCATTTATAGAACATTGATTTCCAGAAATTCAGTTTTCACTTACCCAATAAATTCCAGAAGAAGTGACATGTCAAGTTCTGGAGGAATACGGAATACAGATCCTACAACCTTGCGGGGTCTCCCCCTGCCTACTGCAGTTGGCTGGGGTACAGCTAAAATATAAAAAGATTAATAAGGCTAGGAATGAAAGAACAGAGAATAAGGTAAATTTATTCATACTTCTTTGCCTCCACACTTACTGGTTGCTCTTCTTTCAACCCTTCCTTTTTTTCTCCATAGTGTCCTTTCTCTCCTTTCTCTAAGCAACCCATTGCTTCTGTCTCACTGGTCATGATTTGAACTCTTCTTGCATCACTACCCCAGAAATAAATTACTTAGAGAAGCAGCGCATTCCTTTTCTGGATGTATTCAAGTGAAGGTTGGATAACCTTCTATCAGAAATGCTTTAATTTGGATTCTTGCACTGAGCAGAGGGTTGGACTTGAGGGCATAAATGGCCCCTTTTTACTCTATGACCTCTCAGGTTTCTCTTATTTCTCCTATACTCTACAGTATTCTCTCTCTTGGAAGTATTATTATCAGTTGTCAAACCTCTTTCTGAGTCACTATTTTTTTTAACTTTCTTCCTTATCTTTCTTCCCTTTATGTGTTCAGTAGTAACAATATACAAGACTTTCATACTCATAACAGTTTGTACTAGATAGGTCTCAGACCAGAGAAGCTAAGAAGAGTGGCCAAGGCTGGGAAAAAAAAGGAGATTCCACAATTCACTGTTGAATCCAGAAAGAGAAGTAATATAGATGTAGTGACAGATATGCTTCCACAATTCTATTCATTTGTACCCCAGAAACAAATGTAATCAAGGATCTTAAAACAATATAACACAAGAAATCCCTATCTGCCAAATTGGAATATTGTCAAATTTGGCTAGGTTTTGGTGTCAGAATGTCTCTTATACAAAGCTCACTATAATATGAGATACATCTCCTCCAAAATCTCTAACATACATTTGGAAGATTATAGGCAATGAAAAATAACAGCTACTAGCATATCATGTCAAAACCTGTGGGTCTCTGTATACAGATATTCTCCCATTGTTATGTTTGATAGCTTTAGATAAACCTTAGATATTATCTCAAAGATTCAGGAAGAGTCAGAAATGGTGCTGAATTTCTGAGAGAGCCGCAGGTAGTTAGGCAACTGAACACAACTCTATAATTCTGAGGTAATGATCTCATCAACCACAAGTTGATCACAAAGAATTGACACTTTGAAGACACATAATCGGTAATCTTAGTGCAGGTTGACACACATGAACAAAACTACTTACTAAAATATTATCTTTAAAATGTTTGGAACAAAACCACAACTTTCATTAAATACGTTATACTTTTATAGCACTTTAAGAAAAACAATCATATTGTTTAAGGTTAACTATATTTTTTTTAGTAGAATGTTATTTTTTCAGCTTGTGAATTTTTTTTGAAACCTTAACTGGCATAAAAACATAATTTTCTCACTCAATCGTTCCTCATTTTTTTTAACTAACAGAGCAACTATAAGTGTCAAATAAGAAATACATATTGGTCTTAGTCTATAGAAAGGAAGATTACTACATAGCTATCTCTTGGCATGAAGTATAAGGAAAATTATTCTAACGTAAGGTTTTAATAAATTCATTTTATTTTAAGCAATAGTATACCCCCCAGTTATATAAACTTACCAAGTTTGGGTATTTCTAGACCTCTTTCTCTATAGAAATCATGCATTCGCTTTTTTTCTCCTAAATGTATGAAATACAAAAGGGTTGGTTATACTCAACCTAGAAAATATTGTATGGACCTAGTTGATAGAGAATAAGCACTGATCAAACAGGCAAAATCATCCAAATTCTTTATTTTTTGCCATTTTAATAAAGAAACAAAACAAATGGTAAAATGCTGCAGAGTTAAGAAGAAAATAAATCTGGGATAAAAAATTAAGAAAATGAAAAAGAGAAAAAAACTTGGGAACGTATCTTCATATGAACATATAAATACATATATGATTTTAAAGAAAAAGACAAGCATTTTAAATACTTATTATTTCTAGATGGTCCACATAGGTGAAGGTAACCTATGAGGAAAACACTATTGGTATAGGTAATAAATGGCTATTGTATCTTAATAATTTGTCTTTCATAGGGTTTTTCAAAAGTCTTTGTTGCTAATTTTTCAGAACAATTTCCCACACTCCGCATCCAATGAAAGTATTTTAATTTTCCAATATTTTGTAATAAAAAACTGGGAGTTAATAAAAGCAACTGGATTATTTTTATATTGCAATAACTTATATGCTTTAGAAAATATGGCCAATAAACAAACAGTGATATATTGTGAAAGACTGTGAGCTGTTCTGTTTCTTCAAAAATACTTGACTAAAGTATTATCTAACTGGGCACTGTCACCACTGATAGTGATATGTATCAATCTGCTTAAATCCACCAATACAATCTAGAAATGCTACAGTTAATAGAATGTTATTTCAATGCAGAATAGTGTCGCCTAGGAATTATCTCAATGGTTAATTCTTTATGACCTGCCACAACAGATGTAATAGGCATTATATATTACAAAGGGATTCAGTGAGATTCAGTTTCAAATTCCAGATCTTGCTCCTAGAGTTTAAGACTCTGAAAAAAATCTGTCAATCTTTTATTTCACTACTTTAATTCTACTGTACACATATAACTGATAGAAATAATACATTTTATTATTTAAATAAGAAGATTATGGGACCAAAATAATATTGTAGCAAAGAAAGCATTGAATTGTTGACAGCCATGCTAAAAAAGTTTATAAATCATTCTATTAATATGCCTATATGTATTTCTTTTTAAGAAAAAGTAGATGAACAGGAGTTGCATAGGCCAGTGAAGATGAACATTCTAAAGAATATGAACCATTCCTTCTGGGGTTTTTCCACAATTTCACACTTTTGTTTATAAACCTTACAAAATAAAGTTGAGAATCTCTAACTGCTATATTCCAAATTATATCATGGAACATGTGGTTCTTCAACAAACCCTAAGTCCAAGAAAACAAATGTACTAAATTCAAAAATCTAAAAAAGGGGGCTAATACAGCAACATAAAATGTACTACAACAATGTTAGTTACATTTAGTTAGGCTTATCTTTCAGTTTTATCAATAACAGCTGATTCAGAGATAAAGACTTACTTTCTTCCAGGTTGACAACTAATTTATATACTATGTCTTGCAACTGTCGATCTAGCCTATAAAAAGAAAATAAAAATACTAATTTTTATGTAACTATATTTTATTATAGTGATGTATTGAAGGATAGGCACTGAAACAGAGTTACTAAACTCTAACAGTTATTATAGTCCAAGATTGGCAGAAAAATAGCTATCAAAATTGCAAAATTTCCATGTCAAATTACAAAAGCAACTTCATTAGCATTTTTAAAAACCACATTAATGCTCCGACAGAATAATAAGCCCCAGAAAGAGACTGGGAAAGTGTCAAGTACAAGACAGCAAAGTGTGCTCTGTGTATTCATTTCATTGTTTTAACAATAAGGAAAATTAATGTTTTTGAACACGTTGCTAGACTTCCGCAAGACATAAACATATTCTCCAGTATCAGGCTATTTGAAATAATCGTTAGTTTCAGTAGTTAATATCCAGACTAAAATTAAAATAAGAGCATTAGCTTAGAACTGTCCATTTATACACAAACTAAATATAGAATATACCATAACTGGTAATTACCTGATGTTATAAAGTGGTTGTGTCTGATGTACTACAATGTTGCATTTTGGACATCTGTTACTGTAGTAAAAATGTCTTACTATGCAGCTTTTACAGACTGTAAAAAAAAAGTGTAATTACATGACTGCTATAAAGTAGTCCATTATTATTGAAGGCAACGCAGAATGTGTAGTAAGTTCTGGGTAGGATGTAACAGCACAACAAAAATGAAAAAGTAACAGTTCTACTTAGATTTCTACATCCAATTTTTATACATTGCCTTTAATCCAGTCTTATCATCCCAAATTGATTGACTTCTCCATGACTGTGCCCCCCATATCCCTTTTCTTATGAACATACAGGACTTTACTGATTAAAGAAGAAGCCAGATAGATTTACTTGAGGTGAACTGCTGAATGATGGATATTGAATTTATACCTACAGTTCAGGAATATACCACAGTTCAGACTCCTTCTGGTTCAAACCACACTTTTTCCACTTTTTAAAAAAGTTCAGATGGCAGCCTATCACAAAATAATCTTGTCCTATCACAAAATAGTTTCTTAAGTTCCTAGTTTGCAGTAGGAAAGCTCTGAGATGAAGCAGGTCCTCTTTCTGCTTGGTAAACAAAGCAGTACTTTCCACCTACAGTGCTTCAGCATCTAGCACCGACCACTTATTTCTTGGAGTTGGTACTGGAGAATGGTCTCCGGATCTGGATTTCCATGAGGCCATCAACAGACTCAATCTGGCCATGATAATTGGGTTAAGAAAATGAACTTAGGATAGTTAATGTAACTATGCAGGATGACAGATCTCCTTGTAGGAGGCTGAATGTGATATAGGCAGACTAGGCTCTGAAAGATTTTTAAAACATGTTCAGGGGAAAGACAGGACCAATGGGAAAAAGAACAATTCAGGAACACTTTTCAAAGCACATGGATTGTTGAAATTTTCCAGGATTTCTCTTAGAGACATCCACTTCAATTAGTGTAGTACATGTTATAAGGCTGTGATATGAGGCAGCTGCACAGTATAATTCCAGAAAGCATGTGGCTGCTTTAAGAAGCTGCAGAAAGGTATTAAGTTCAAGCCCGTGTGTTCTGAAGCATCCTTTTGCCTTCAGATCCAGAGTGCTTCACAGCCCTAATGTTTTATTGTCATTTTGATATTATTAAAGTATACAGTACTTTGACTTTTTGCAACATATGTACATTTATGTTTCCTTTGATCAAGTAATTAATTCCAACACTTACATGTATGAAGACATTCTGTGATGGTTGTGGCATCTATAAAGTATCCCTTGCAGATGGAACACATGATATACGGCACCAACTCAGAAAGATTAATCATGCGCTAAAATTTCACAAAAAGAATGTGTTAAGAGTATTTTTAAAAAGTTTGCTGATAAGCAAACACCAAAAAATGTAAAGTTAATATTTAAAATTATAGATATTTCAATACATTATCTTTTTTTCAATAAACTATTTGCAAACAATAGCACAATAGCCATATTATACTGTTGGAAGCAGTTTTATCTCTGCAAGTTTTAAAAATTTCCTCCAGAGAGTTGTGTGTCTCGAAAGCAAATTTGGAGGGCTACACTGAAAAGAAAACTCCTGAGGAACAAGCAGGTATCTGTTTGCACATTGTTTGAGCTTTCCCTCTCAGACTGCCTCAGCAACTGAGCAGTGCAAGAGCAGGCATCACCTCAGAAGCCAAGGAGACACCGCATGTAGTATAAGCAACATACTCCAAACGTATCTCCTGTACACAAAATGTACTGGGAGCTACTTTGCTGGTGAGAAAAGCAGCAGTACCTTTGCACAGAACAGATTGATAAATGTATCCTGTACTTATCCAATGGCTCTACACAACAGGTCTTACTGATGGTTGTCTTGCAAGCTGCTTCCTTCTCTTTCTGAAGCATGGCAAGTTTTAGTAATGATGACATTTTTCCTATGTCTTATTTTATTGTGAACATCATTTGACTGAAAGAGCATACAAACTAAATGAACTAGTGAGACTGACAGAACTGTTCTGACTGGGATATACAAGAGATGTCACATCATGAAAAAATACAAAAAAGGGACCGCGTCTGCAGAGAAAGCAACGTGAGCTCTATTTCCCAAAGAACTCAAAATGGATGGTACGTTCACAGCAACCTTATCTGCAAAGTTGGACGAGAGTAATTTGCCTACGGATCTCCGCAGCTGTGCTTTACTGGGCTACCCTCGTGTCCCCTCAACCACGCTGCCAAGGAAAGAGTGGCCCGTGTTACCTCGTCCCCATCGTCGGAATCCATTTCGCCCTCCTCCGTCCCAAATCCTCCGAAGAGCTCTGCGGCTCCCCCCTCCGCAGCCTCCTCCTCCAACATCTCTTCCTCCTCCTCCATCTCTTCGTTACCTTCACAGCTAGATTCAGAGCGGCTTCCCTGCTCGTAACGAGCACCCGTCCCGGAGCAACCAGGCGTTTCCAGCGCGGCTACTGACGCTACTTTACCCTCCACTTCCTCGGCCAGTCCAGCCGCCCCCTCAGCCACGGACCCCTCGCTTAGCGGAGTCAACGCCATGTCTCCGGAAAAAAGAAAGAAAAAACAAGCAGCTGCTCGGCCCCGGCCCGCAGGAAAACACAAATTTCCAGCAAAAACGGAGTATTGCTCTGGTCCCTCCCAGCTCCCCTCTCCTAGACTGCGCGAGGACTCTGCCCGACCCCCCACGATCCCTCCAAGCGGAATAAAAAGGGCTACGAATTTAAGCGCGTGCGCACAGCTAATTTGGCGCGCACATCGCCAGAGCACCTGCATAATTTACATATTCGCGCTGTGTTCTGGGAAATTGAGTTAGTTTGCTCCTCTTTGGTTGATGAGAAAGTGAATGTTTTTATGTGCACGATACTGGATGTAAAGACCGGGACGAATATTAATTTTCAATATTAAAACGTATCAAAATATTCACAACACTGGCTATGTCTTTGTTTACTGTATTTTAATAACAGTATTGGTGAAAATGTAACAACTAAGGTACATTTGCATGCACGACGTGTAAAAACTTGAGTGAGGCAGGGACAAAAATGAATAAAATATCTGATCAATTGCATTCATAGCTATGCTATTCTGTTGCATTGAAATGCTAGTTAAATACCAACTAGTTAAAATAACGCTGATCTTTGCTGCTTCTGTTGATGTATCTTTAGACTAGACTTCGAGTCGGGCTTGACTCCCATTGAATCCACCTCATCCATACAATTTTCTTTGCAACAGCACAGAAATTATTTGCCATTCCAATAAATGTTCCCCCTGTCCCAAAACTTACCTCTGGGACATCCAAATATATAGGTAGGATTTAGTTCTAGGAGTGGGTTACTGGAGGCCACGGATCTTTCAGTACTGTAATGTGCTGCGGGCTGCGCCCTATATCTAATGGGGGAGACTGAAACAAAAGCTAGATTTGGTTTGAGTTCATTTAGATATACACTTAGTCAAAAATAAATTTTAAATAATTTAACATATTGAATAGCTTTTTCTTCATTTAATGACTTTTCCTTTGAAAAGTAAACTTAAATATCAAATAAGTTAAATAGGTTTGAACAGATAGGTTGGTAAGAACTTTTGAAGGTCTTTGGGACCCATATTTATGGATTTCAGGGATTGCTGCATATCTCTGCTGTATGCATACTTGCATGCATTACAGGTTTACATATAACTCTTTGTGAAAAGTAAAGCTCTGTGTTTTTACCCGTATTATTGTTTAGCGTTAATAATAAAACCTATGTGCTCAATGAATGGAGAAGGGAATAAATAAGACACTCCAGAATCCGGGTAACTACTATATTCTATGCAACAGTAATGTAAGCTACTATACAATTTAACTTTTTTCTACTTACTGTAGTATTAAAATATTACTTTTGGAGAAATGAGCTCTGCCCGAGATTTGACATACTAAACAATATACCCAACGTACTTTCTAGCGTGTAAATATGCAATGATAAATAATCGGGCTTCGTTCTATGTAAGCTATAGGCAAATGAGGGAGGAAAAGCTTTCTGATTTCAGAAAAGCTTTAAAAGGGCAACCCTGCGCCTTTCAGAAAATGCGACGATCTAACCGCACATGCGCAAGCTTCTGCAGGCGCTTTTAACCAAGCTCCTGATCAGTGAAAGAGCTCTCCTTTCCCGTCATTTCCATAAAGCGGAACTGTCGTAAAGCAACGGGAAGCCTCTTCCGAGAGGCTTTTAGCTTCACGCGGGGCGGGTATGCCCGGACTGTCGCAAACACGCGGGACACCAGAGGGGGAGGTCAAGCCATTGGGCGCGCCAACATGGCCGCTTTGCCGGAGGAGCCGACGGAGACAGTAGCAGTGAAGCCCGATCCTGACGCAGGAGCGCCGCCGCCCGCTCCGCCCGCTCCTCTCTCCCAGTCCCCGATCTCGGCGGCAGCAGCAGGTGCTACAACTGTCCCCCCTCCGCCTGCCTCCTCGGTCGCCGCCGCCCTCCTTGCGGATGGGGAGCCGCTCGCCGGAGGAGTTGACTCGAAGGGCTCGGTGGCTTCCAGCCCGACGCCGGCCGCCTCCCAACTACCTCACGACCGGCAGACGCTGCTAGCGGTACTGCAGTTCTTGCGACGCAGCAATCTCCGCGAATCTGAGGAGATCCTCCGTAGGGAAGCCCGTGTCCTCGTCGACGACGTCCCGGGCGATCCGAATCCCTCAGCGCCCGGAGTCCCGGGAGCTCATGGCGGGGAAGGACAGGATCCCAGTGTCGGGATCTTGGCCCCCGGAGCTGGGGACGTGCTGCTCAGTTCTGTCACTTTTGGCCAGACTGGAGCTACGATCTCTCCAGCCGCTATCACGACACCTCCCGCCGCGCCCCTGGGCCCTCCTGGGAAAGGTGAGATGTACGAGACCGTAATAGTAAGTGTTCGCACAGCCACCTGTACTAATTTTGTCCTGCGCTCGTGAGAAAGGATATAAAACATACAGTTGTTCATTTCGGGGAACATCAGTTCAGCACTGTCCTTCTAAATTTAGTGCGAATATAGTAGCATTATTTACAAGTAAACATTGAAGAATTATGTGTGTTAATGATCTTTTCGTTTTGAAGTACCAGAAAGCTGTTATGGTACATTTATTTATTCTGTTAAGCGAGACACATTCCTTAGTTTCCACTGTAAATTTTGTAGTTTTAAATATGCAATTTAAAACCACAGTGGAGTGTTTTAACAGTGGAAAGTGAGGAATGTGTCTTGCTAAAAACAATACATCAATATACCATAACAGTGCACCCCAGTGTGGTTTTAAGTTGCATGTTTAAAACTACAAAATCAGTACTGGCTGGGAGATCTTTTGTTATGTTTTTATAGTTAAATATTGGGAGATACCATACAAAGATCCAAAAAGTAGTATTAAATAACATTATGCGGTTAGGGTGCCAGTGACAAAAACGAACAGGCAAGCAAAACATTTTCTGACTATAGAATAGAATACATATTTATCTTTGTCTTCTCCAGAACTTTTTACAATAAGAAAGGTATTGGTGTTCTCTAATAGGGCTATGCAAAGTCATCCACAGGATTGGAGGCTTTAATGAAACAACAACAAAAAAGCACCCTTTTGTATTTCTGTGCAGTGTCATGATACACATAGAAAAGGAGTAGAGTTGTCGCTTTCATAATTTCATAACCCACGCAATCATAGCTCTGCACCTTTGTACATATGCAGACATTGCCCAGAAATAAAAAAGGGTGGGAATTTGATTGCATAGTTGTGATCAATGTCTTGACTTTTTTGACCCTCCTTCCCATGGATAACGTTAATTGCTAACACTTATTTCCAAAAGCTAAATATTAGAAATACAAACTTTGAATCAGAAATTATGTCCTGGTCTATTGTAACTGCATGTGGTAATCTAATCCTTTAAAAGATCTGAGATAGGAGGACACAATTTGCTTCTCATCCAAAGTAAACAACAAACATACAAGAAAGCAACAAGTTGGGGAGAGGACCCAAAACTTGTAAGGCAATCCCTTAAAAAGCTCCGCTTTTGGTCACATGACAGAATAAAGAGGGAGGGGTCTTAGAAATGACTTCCAACCTTCTTTTTAACAGATAATTACAATTTTATTGTCCTTCCTCCCTCTTAAATTTTATACAAGCCCCATCACCCCCTCATTTAATCCACATTTTTCTTAATTTTCAAATCCATGAATCATCAATTCATTTCTTTCTTTTTTCAGCAAAAAGTCCATACAGTATAAGGTTTCCAGTTTTTTAGAAAAGTTTTTGTTGTTTTTTTCTCTGACCAAGCAGGTCAGTTTTGCCATTTCTGCAAATTCTGACATTTTCACAGTCCATTCCTCCACTGTGGGAATTTCATTATTCTTCCGTTGTTGTGCATACAATAAACTTGCTGCAGTTACCATATACAAAATCAGTCTACTATGAGTCTTTTCTAATTCATTGTCCATAAATCCCAATTCTGGTTTCTTTACAATATTAATCTTTAAAATCCTTTGCATCATTGTATGAATTAGTACCTAAAATTTCTTAGCTTTCTTAACTTTAATTTTTTCTTTCCTTTTCCTTTCTTGTACTTTTTAATTTCCTTTCCTTTTTTTCTTTTGATTTGTCTTTTATTGTATGAAAAAAATCCTAATAATTATAAATAAAAAAAGAGGGAAGGGTCTTAGAGGGAGAATGGGAAAGTTAGCTACATTCTAAGATGTTGCCCAATTGCCTCGTCCATAGGGATGCATTGGAGAAAGTTAAGTTTTCAGAAAATTATTTTATGGAGAGGCAGAATCCTGATCCTCTTTACTGTATATATTTTTTCCAACATTCTGTTGAACTGGAAAGAAAGAAAAAGCCCTTGCTGAAATGTATTGGCAGTAATGACAATGAAGTTTAATAATACTATACAGTGGTACCTCTACTTATGAACGCCCCTACTTACGAAATTTTCAAGATACGATCAGCTCCGGCCCCAAAAATTTACCTCTACTTACGAATTCGCCTTGACTTATGAGCCATTTTCCACCCGTTCCACATGGTCCGTGGCCATTTTGCCGCCTGTGCCACGTGGGCTGCGGCCATTTTTCCGCCCACCCCACGTGGTCCGCGGCCATTTTCCGCCCGTGCCACGTGGTCCGCGGCCATTTTC